GCGTGTATTATCATGACGGTCTCTTCTCGGCGGGGTTCGGGAAGTGAACACGGTGTTGAAGTTATGTTTGGCGTAGGTTGTTCTAAGATCACTTCTTGATCATAGTTTCTCGACCGTGCTTTTGCCTTCTCTTCTCGCTCTCATTTGCGTATGTTAGCCACCAAATATGCTAGTCGCTTGCTGCAGCTCCACCTCATACCTTTTACCCTACCTATAAGCTTAAATAGTCTTGATCGCGAGGGTGTGAGATTGCTGAGTCCCCGTGACTCACAGATACTTCCAAAACCAGTTTGCAGGTGTCGTTGAACCGTGCAGATGATGCAACCGAGCTCAAGGAGGAGCTTGTTGAAGATCATGTTCTTTATGTTGTTCCGTTTTCCAGTTGATCAGTAGTGGAGCCCGGTTGGGACGATCGGGGATCTGTGTAGAATTTGGGGTAGTCTTCCTTTTTTTTGGTTCCGTAGTCGGACCTTGATTGTATCTGGTTGATGTAATGCTTTATTCTTGTATTGTGTGAAGTGGCGATTGTAAGCCAACTATGTATCTCTTTTCCCTTATGTATTACATGGGTTGTGTGAAGATTACCTCACTTGCAACATTGCTTCCAATGCGGTTATGCCTCTAAGTCGTGCTTCGACACGTGGGAGATATAGCCGCATCGAGGGCGTTACAAGTGGAACTTATTTTGCAGGGTCAGACACTATCCTCGTATTCAAATTCTTCGGTGATGTATTCGGAGAAGGAACCCGCCTTGTAATGTCGAAGACAATACTGCGCGCCGGACTCATCGTCATTGAAGCCTGGTTCAGGGGCTACTGAGGGAGTCCTGGATTAGGGGGTCTCCGGACAGCCGGACTATCTACATTGGCCGGACTGTTAGACTATGAAGATACAAGATTGAAGACTTCGTCTCGTGTCCGGGTGAGACTCTACTTGGCATGAAAGGCAAGCTAGGCAATACGGATATGGATATCTCCTCCTTTGTAACCGACCTTGTGTAACCCTAACCCTCTCCGGTGTCTATATAAACCGAAGGGTTTTAGTTCATAGGACAACAATCACAACATACAATCATACCATAGGCTAGCTTCTAGGGTTTAGCCTCTCTGATCTCGTGGTAGATGTACTCTTGTACTATCCATATCATCAATATTAATCAAGCAGGACGTAGGGTTTTACCTCCATCAAGTGGGCCCGAACCTGGGTAAAACATCGTGTCCCCTGCCTCCTGTTACCATCCGGCCTAGACGCACAGTTCGGGATCCCCTACCCGAGATCCGCTGGTTTTGACACTGACACTCGTCTTCACCAGCTCCACTCTTGGTTATCTCGTACCTCTAATTATCCAAGCTTATATTGTGTTGCATCTCTTGCTTGCTTGTGTACTTGTTGTTGTTGCATCATATAGGTTGCTCACCTAGTTGCACATCTAGAAAACCTACTTTGATGCAAAGTTTAAATTGGTAAAGAAAAGCTAAAAATTGTTAGTTGCCTATTCACCTCCCTTCTCTAGTCAACTATATCGATCCTTTCAATAACGGTTGGATTTTTTCCTTTCTATAAAAGGGGGTCTTCTTCCCTCCTGGACCTTATCCTTTTGAGCTCATGTTCTTTCCCCATTGTTGATCTTCTTCGAGCTTGCTATCTCTCAATCCCTCCATAGATTCTTGTTACTTTTTTGGGGGGAAAGAGAGAGGAGATCCAGATGTGATCTATGTGAGGGGTACCCCTTGGATCTAGATCTTGGAGTTCTTGGTGTTCTCCTTCTTGTTCTTCCTCTCATTTTCTTCCATAGCTTTCGTTGCTTTGGTAGGATTTGAGAGTGAGGGACTTGGGCACTCCGTGTGCCCTTGGCATTGCATTTGGTGCATAGGTTTGAGTTCTCCATGGTGATACGTGGAAGTGATTGAGAAGCTTTTTACTCTTGGGTGCTTGGTACCCTAGAGCTTGTTTCTCTTGGGTGCTTGGTCGCCCTAGACAGTTGGTGGTGCTTCGGAGCTTAATCATTATGGTGTAAAGCACCGAGCAAGCATCGGGGTCTCCAATTAGGTTGTAGAGATCACCACGAGCAATTTGTATGGGTTCTTGTAACCGCCCCAAAGGGTTGCCAAAGTGTACGAGTTCAGTGACTACCCCCAAGGGTTGCCAATAATACGGGTTCGGTGACCGCCCTCAAGGGTCCCTTAGTGGAATCACGGCATCTCGAATTGTGCGAGGGCGTGAGGAGATTACGGTGGCCCTAGTGGCTTCTTGGAAAGTATTGTGCCTCCACACCACTCCAAACGGAGATTAACATCTGCAAGGGTGTGCACATCGGGATACATCATCATCTCTGCGTGCCTTGGTTATCTCTTATCCGAGCCCTTTACTTATCCACTTTACTTTGTGATAGCCCCTTATTGTTTCTTGTTATATATTTTGCTATCACTTAATTGTTTATCTTGCTTAGCATAAGTTGTTGGTGCACATAGGTGAGCCTAGTTGTTTTAGATTTTGTGTTTGACAAATTAAACACTAGTTTTATTCTGCATTTGTTCAAGCCTAAACCGTAATCATTTTAAAGCATCTATTCACCCCCCCCCCCCTGCAGGCGACATCCACGATCTTTAAAGCTCACTGTCCGCGGATGCGGCCGGGCACGCCCGCGAGTGATTGAGGGGTCGGATTTGTTGTCCGCGCGCCGTCGACACGGTCTGGAGGTTGAAGACAAAGGGCATCTCAAGGATTTTGTAATTTTTTTTTGAGGTGCTTTGTACTGTTCGA